AAGTTTCGATTTTGTATGGACTTATTTATCTTCTCTTCTGTGGCACGATTTTATTAATAATGGCTCCAGAGATTAAACCTTCTAAAATTGCTCCTAAATTACGTAAGCAAACCCTAACACTAAAGTAGATTTAACTCTTCTCTCTTCTGAAGGTTTTAAATAAATGCACTTTAAAAACTCTTTCATTGCCAGCCATTTGTTGTTTTATATTTCGTTTTTCTTTCATTTATTTTTTTGAAACTTCAGAGTTTGAAATTTCACTATTTAGACCACATCTTAACGAAATTAAGTAGGCCTACTAATAAGTAAATCCTCTTAGGAATCTCTTCTAGAGTCCTTGCAACCACCATAATAAAAGTGGAACTTAGGAGGCTCTCTTATAAAAAAAAAAAAACCATAAGAATATTTTGAGAACTAAAGTCCAAATTTTTGAATTTTTTTAAGGAGATGAAGTGGACTAGATATCACCACAAAGTTGAGAAACGAATTTTGGTACACCACCCCTAATATTTATACAGAAGTCCAGTCTCTTCAGAACAAAAAAAAATTCTAGTCGATAAAACCAATCGTTATGGTTTTCTTCGTGGTTTTATTTTATTATTATTATTATATATATTTTTTTAATGGTTGAGCAACAGCACAAAACGGTTTTTCAATTGGGATTAAGAAAAACCGATAATTTCTTTTTAAATCTGCAACTATTGAAGAAAACAGAAAATTTTTGAAATTTTTGAAATTTTTTTTTTCTTTTTTACAAGTTCGTTTTTTACGACGACATCGACTGTTCATCCTGATCGTCCCTAACGGGTATAGTACTGTGATTATAAAGTCCCTGTGCCATTAACTGAAGGGCCAAAGGATTTCTCTGTCCACTAGCTTTCTTGATTTTAGCTCTCTTATTCTGGAACCAGATTTTGATCTGAGATTCATTCAATTTGAGGTCTCTTGCTAAGTCCTGCCTTCTTTTTTCTGTAAGATAACGATTTTCTTGAAATTCTTGTTTCAACCTGGCCAATTGTTCTGCAGTAAATGCTGTGCGTGGCCTTTTCTCGTCAGCTTTCTTTTCGGCTTTCTTTATTCTCCTCGACCTGGGTCCTGGGAAAAATATTACTTAATTAATTAATCTAATTAACAGTCTTACTAATATAAAATTTAATTAAACAAAACAAGGAACAAATAAATCTGAGTAAATTAAAACTGTAGAGTAGTCGAATTTAAAATCTAACCTACGTTAAAATAAATGTTTGTTTAGATTTTCCATCCATTAAAATCTTGTAAAATTATTAATGTCTAAAGCATAGGAAATTTGAAATGATTTTACAAGATAAAGATATAAAATCTAAGTGAAATTTTGTTCTTTTTTTAAAAAAAGTCAAAAATAAAATAAGTGTAAAATACCAATTTCTAATAGGATAAACCTATAGGCTATCGGAAATCCGAGCCGAGAATGGTAAAGAAAACATACACTATCCTTCTTCTTTTACTATTTTTCGGGATAGGAAAAGCAATTTCGTTTTAGTAATCACAGAATTTCTCCAAACTAAGTTTTTCTTTTCTGAACTTTATGGTTTTCTTTTATTTTTTTTTCTTTCTTTTTTTTCCTTTCATTTTTTATGTCCAGAGTGGAAAGGAGGGGGGGGGAAGAGAAGTAGAAGAAGAACCTAGGTTTTCGGAAGTCTCACAGAATCTCGTCGGGAACGAGAAATTACGACCGTCCATCAACGTACGTCATACGTGGCCGGACGTGGGAACCAACCAAGTGGGCTTTACCAACTAATGGATTTCTCCTTCAATCACTGCACAGAAAGAGAAGAAAGATTTTTCTCTGCAGATTAATTTTCCGAGCTGTCTACGTTTGTCAGGAATTTTCGCTCAAACTTCTACAGAAATGGAAACTATCACAATTAAACAAAGTTTTCCGTAAAAATCTTTCTCTTCTCGGATCAATTTAATAATAATAAACACTATTTTATAAAAGATATCTTCATGTCAAATATTTACGTCATTTTTTCCTATCTTACATCCTTCGGATTAAGAAAATTTTATAAGAAAATTGAAGATTTTTACTGTTAGATTAATCCTTGTGTGTGTATGTGTATGTGTATGTGTTAAACATTCTTCCAGAAATCTTAACATATTAAGAATACGATAAGATATTACATACTTAGATCTATAAGATCTTTTCTTTTTTTTCCATATTAAGATTGATACAGAAGGAGGATGGAGATTCGAATGAAAAAAAAGGGGGTATATTTTCAACATTGTATTCGTGAGTATGATATTCATCAACTGAACATAGTTTGATTTCTAAAAAATTTGGCTGGTTTTTGTTTTATAACCAGAGCAGATCTGAACAACATGAGATGATTGATGATGGGACGGTTCCGAGCCTTGATTGTCGTCGCTGTCGTGATCTTTAACCCGAGTATACTACGGCGTTCTCACACCATTTTAAAACTGATAATTTAACCTTTGTCAAGTTAAACGGATTCGGTCGCACCCGCCGAAAATTAGCCCATATTTATCTTAAATTTGTGAAAGATCACATCCTTTCAGCCCATTAGGCCATCACAAAACTTTAGTTTGAAAGCTGGTTGACTTACAAGGCCACAACTCACAAAAGACCTGACAAGTCGTGAAAGAATTAGAAGATATTTTCGTGACTTTAAAACTCGCTTTAATAAGCAAAAAAAACTAGAATAAAACATAATTATTAATGCTTGTCTTAAAAGGGCATAAAATATTTTCAAAAAAACAATTGCTTTAAATTGGTTTTTCCTTCCAACAAAGACGATCTCACCAGTTCCATTGCTGTGTATGTAAGTGAATGTAAGTCTTTCTCCATCAAAGACTTAAATAATTTCACAGTTTACTGTAGATGAATATTCTTTTTAAAACGTTAATTAATAATAAAAATTAAAATTAAAATCGAAAGATGATTTACAGGTCTTTTAAAAATGTATTTAATTTGCTCCTTTCGAGGATTGATTCCTAAAAGACAAACAACAGAGGAAGAAAAAGATATAGTGTATTCTATAGACTATGTTATACAGTTGTCACAAGCCTCAAGCTAGTCAATAAATGCCAAAAAACGTCGTTATATAAGATGTGATTATTAAGAAAGAAATTTTAAGTAAAGATAAGAAGCTATCTTTTCCTGTAGATAATCCGTTTGGACTATTCATGACTTAATAAATAAAATTTACATCATTGATAATTGTCTTATCTAATTAGGCCCATAAATTAGGCATTATCTCGAAATAGAAGCTGCTATTTTTTTTTTTCATCCTTATTGGCTTCACTGATAATAGCCAATAAACATATCAAGTAGTAGATGTCCTTCGATTATTCTTTAATATAGAATTAAACAGGTATTACGGCAGGTGAGAACAGCATACAATGGGCGATTCTGACAGTGATGTCTATTCCTAGATATCACAAATGGAAATTTTCTTTGTGTGGCCCTTCTGTTTGACACAATACAAAGAAAGAACCAAAAAAAATGTGTTGGATGTGGTGATTGCTACAGAAACTATATTAATTAATGTTCGGTAAGAGTAAGAAAAACCTTGAGGCTCTAAAGAAAAAAAAAAATAGAATTGATTGTGATGGTTTTTTAAAAGCCCGTGTGCCTGTAGGCTTATAAGTTTTCTTCTGACTTTTCATTTTAGACCTTATCAGATTTAATACTTATCAAAAACGTATTTATAGGTAGACTTAATTATAATGTTGGAAGTTTTTAAATGGGTCGACTTATCGTTAAAGAATCTAGGCCTTTAAGATGAAAATTTAGCTTCCAGTAAGCCTCTAAGGCTTAAAACATTACTTAAAAGAACTCAGAATGATCATATAAGATCATGAAACATTTCATAGTTTAAGGTGACGATTCTCTTTGCGTGATTTCATCCGTTAGCAGACCATTTGTAATATTTATGGGATTCTCTATTCCGAAAGAGCCTTTTTTGTTCTTTAGACGCTTCTAAAACACATAAATCGCTGCGTGATGTTTATATCGACCTGTTTAATTGATTTTAATGGTTTCTATCACGAACGTGCTTCTAAAAGAGACATGTCAAGTGGATTTCTAAAGATTAGATTTTCAATCATGTAAAAGTATCAATAATATGAAATTAGGATGTTCCGAAATTGTTATTTATTTATTTTTTATTATTTTTTAATTTTGAAAAAAAAAGGCGAAGAACAAATTTGTAAAATCTACGGGGTGGCTAGTTCGAAGACAAAGAACACCCCATCGCGAATTGACTGGATAAGATCGAATGTTGTGGTTGAATAACGGGTGGTCCGCAGTCTGAGTGACAGATGCGACTAGCAATAAAAATGCTTTACTGTTGAACAGATTTGCTACTTTATAATGATGTTTTTTTAACACTATCCGTGCCTCGACTCTTCTGATTAGTCTCATCTATACTACTATTTTTTTTTTTCAAGAAAAAAGAAACTACTAACTTGTACTTTAATTCATTCGTCTAGTTCCTTTTTTTTAAAAAAAAAAAGTTATCTCAATAATAGGAATTATAATTTAATTCCCTTACAGATGTTCCATTAAACATGTAATAAATTTAGGCTATATAAAAAAATTATTATAGGTCTAAATTTTAAACAAGTTTTATTTGGATCTAATCCTAAAAACTTTATGTAATTTGTTTAGATTTTAGTATTAAGCTCAATATAAATACAATTAATAAATAGAAAGCACAGTACAGTACACACACACACACAGACACAAAGTAAATGTTTAATTCCTAAGAAATTGGAGAAATTTTTCATAATAAATTTAATTTTTATAAGTCTTTTAATTAGGTTATAAACTAACCTACTTTATTAACTTGTATGGATTTTTTACATTATTTTATATTGCTAAACAGAAGAGTTTTTGAAATCCTGTATTTTTACTAAAGGAATCAAAACAGAAGGCATAAAAATCTAAAGGCCAATTTCTAATCAAAATCCAAAAATCAGTTCTTTTTTTTTTTTGAGAAAATAGCCTTGAAAAGAAAACTCATTATTCACAAGCAACTTTAATCAACGATGCATAGAAAATTTTTTAAACCATTGAACATGATTTCAAACAGAACTCCGACTTTCTAAGAATAATCGATTCTAACCTAGAACCTCTAATTATAGTAGAATAACTTATATAATATATATAAATACAGTTGGGGGTAGAGACTATTTTTATGAAAATTTTTTGGACTATTTGTCACTCTTTTCATTATTAATCGAATCAAAAATGTTTTTTCCAAAGAGAACCGACATTAATGGGAAATTATGACAGGAAGTAGTTTCCATTATAATGATTTTCAAGCCAAAAATGTTTTCATTCTATGATTAACCCACTTAAGTTTGTATGGTGCAACTACTGTATAAGAAGAAACTGTTATTATTTTAGAAGATAATTCATTTCCTTTAATTATACCCTACACTTTGGCGAAGTAGATTAATGCTGTAATAACTTTAGGTTAGCACTCGACTAAAATAAATGATTTTTTCATGAAAAATCATGTTTGAGGCACCTTGACTAAATTTAGGAGTAACTGAACACTTAAATTTTTAGCTCCTTTAAATATATTATAGGCCTATTGAGAATAAACCCTTTAGTCTATGTTAATAAGATTAAAGATGTAAAATTTTTTAAATATTTGTAATATATTTAATAATAGTTTTTATTAGCCGAATATTTTAAATTTCATTTGATAAAGAATTGTTTTATTTGTTATATTAGTTAGAGAATTCTATAAATAAAATATTAAATTTCTATCGTAGAAAAAATAGGCCTATATATAGGCCTATATATATATTATTCTTCATATTTAAAAACACAAAACTTAGGCCAATTTTAAGGGTCTATATTATATATTTGTATGTATTATTCAACTGAAAGAATAAGAATTGAATATATTATTCTTATTCTTAATTAAATTTCTCATCAAAAAGATCCCTGTCGAAATACATCAGATGAAATGTAGCCTATATGGTTCCTTTTGAAGTATAATATCAAAGTAACTTTTCTTTCGCTGTTAACACTTAAGCCATTATTTAGCAGTACTAATAAGAATTTAACTAGCTGTAAAGAC